GTTCCCCGCAAATTAATTTAGCAGCTATGTTGTGTCTTGGTGGCAGTGGTCAGAAGACAACTTAAAAACATCTTTTGCAGGATTGGGAGAGGCAGAGGACACAGCCCGTGCTGATGATGTGATGACGATGCTCACCCACATTGCCACGGTGACGGGCATGAAAGCTGCTGTCACCCATTCTTGCCGGGGAGCAGCTGTGGCAAGTCCATTCATCATTGTTTGCGGGATGCTCTTTGGCCCTGTTGGAATTTTTATAGGTAAGTGTGCTTGGCCTTAGGAACAGGAGGGTGGTTAAATCCCCTAGTGAAGAAATGAGCAGGTGTGGGTTGAAGGAAAGGGGCATTCAGGGCTGAGATTTCCTGCTGCCATGGGGGGAGGGTGAATAAGCCTTAGCAAGGGGCAGGGTCATTTCTCACTAAAAATGATGCTTATTTCTGTCTATTAAAGGCTGCTGATATCCATGTCCTTATGAACTTGGGGTTTTTCCCACTGGGATTCATTTTTCCCTGTCGCTTTGCTTTTCTTCTTGTTATGGACAGTTAGAGAAAAGCCAAAGTCTAATAGAACAGAATTGTTTCTCCTCTGTAAGTCTGGAATTAAGAGTTGAATAGTTTGAAAGCTGCCTTGTTGCTGAAGGCATGTGGGCCCTGGCCCATGAATGTTGAATGTCCTGGGAGCAGTTGCAGGAATTTCACAGGCTTACTGATGCTGGAGTGAATTGCAGTGTGCCTCCATCAGGGTGAGTTACAAAAGCAAGCAAATAATTTGTGAGCAGTGATAACAGAAAATGCAAAGTGAAGCTGTGTATTTACTCCTAGTGCAGGTACAAAACTGCATTGATGGAATAATATGTTGAGAAATGTATGACTGAAGTCATCTGGAGAAAAGAAGGGAAATTAAGCTTTTGTAAGGAATTTGTAACCTTAACATCTGTAGTAAAGGTAATAATGTAAGTGGCCTCATTCTTGAGTCAGATGAAGAGAAATAGTCAAGTTATTAATGGATGCATTTTCTCTTTTAAGTGTTTGTCTAAGCTTTCATAGTGTCTCCTAGTCAATCTTGATGTTCTTCCACCACTGAGGAATGTACTGGAAAAAGAATTCCTATTATTTTATATTGAAAGTACACATTAATAAGCATAAATAATAGGAGTAATAAGCACTAAATAAACTATGAGCCACGGCTCAATTACTGTGTCACTAAATCATAACCCTTTCATTTAGCTTTTAAAATTGGAGAGGTAAATAAGCCAGATAAGTTCAGGACAGTTAGGACATTAACAATCAAGTGCACCTTCACTTGCTCTGACAGCCAGGACAGGTGTGGGGTGGGGTGCAGGGGTTGTCCCTCTTGCTGCTTTGCACCAGGAATGAGGATGAGTTCCCTGCCATGTGCAGCATTGCTGCAGAAGCTTCCAGTCCTCGTGCTTCCCCAGGACTGCCTGCTCTAAGCAGAGTGGGCTGTGGGTTTGTTGCTTGGGGGAGAAAGTGTGATTGTGAAACAAATCTTGTCTCAATGGACAAGGAGCTTAGACATCAATGCTTCTAGTGGCTTTTGCATTAAGTGCCCCTAAATCAGTAATTGATGTTCTCATGAAAGTCCCTTGAAGATGAATTCAGCCATCGTCAGCTTTCAAGTATTTCTGTGCTGTCTTGGGAAAAATTGCTCACTGAGTAAAAGCTGCAAATGAAGAGTTTTTGTCTAATGTAAAACTGCATCCCTGTGAGTGCCTAGATGACTTTTTAGGAGCAGTCTCTGGGGGTGGCAGTTTTGGTGGCAGGGTCAGTTCTGCCACCTCTCCATTGGGAGGGTTCTCTCTCTCTCTCTCTCCCCCCTTCCTTCATTCCATCTGTCCATCCATCCCAGGCCGTGTGTGCTGCGGGCAGTGCTGCCCTGTGGATTGCTGTGCTGCACTCACACTGCTGCTGGAGGGGAGCCCTGCAGGGCTGCTGGGCTGCTTTCTCAGCAGCCACAGGCACATCAGCTGTACATCCATCCTCTGCTGTCATCCTGATAACCTGGGGCCTTCCCTTAGCCCAGCATGTCTTGTCCTCCTGGGGAGGGTGGGCTGTGTCCCTGGTGGATGAAAGCCTGCATGTGTCTGATGGGATTGGTCTCTGAGCACCTGCAGGGGTGGCTTCAGGTGTGTAGGACACTGCAGTGGGTGACTCTTCAAGAAGCAGAAAGCTTTGACCACTCTGGGAGTATCTAGTAAGAGATGATGACACTGCTAAGGCAGCTGTTGCTCTGCTCTTTTCCTTGGGCAAGGTTTTATGTAGCAGTAGAGCTTCCTCTGAGAGAGTGTCCCAGGGAGTGTTTTGGTTCTGGTTTCTAGCTTGAAGCTGTTAGTGTTGTTTGCAGGAAGGGTTTCTTTATGGTTGCTGTGGATGTAAAGAGCTTTTAAAATCCTTTTTGATGCTTTGAATACTGTGTATAAATCTAGTTAAAGCAGACACATACACAACTCAATCTTGACTTCTGATCACTGTGGGAACATTGTTGGTGAAGGCTGTGGATGGAATTCCAGGCTTTAACATTAACTGCTAAAGGCAAATGATTCCCCCTCTTTGCTAGGAGGAGCACTGGGTGGATTGATTGCCTGGATGACTTCTGAAGATTTCAAGTCAGTCCCTCAGGTTTTAATGGAATTGTCTCCTGCTGAGCGGCAGAAACTCTGTGCTGAAGCCATGGCTGTTGTCCAGAACTTTGACTGGAAGGATGCTGCTGAGCTGATTAAATTTGTAATGTCAAATTCTTTTATCAGAGACAAGGTATTAGGAGTGCTGAATACTTATGTTACAAATAAGCTAAAGGCTAAGCCAAAGTATACAAAATAATTCTCTCCAGAGTAGGGTTTTTATGCTGAATTGCCTTCTCCTCCCATGTTTGTGAATCTTCAATGCAACAATTTCTTGTTATCAGTACTTATTACAAATATATGCTGATCGAAGTAATTCTGGGGTTTTTGGTTTATGTGTTTGGGGGTTTTTAAGTTTTTATCATTATTGTTAAAATAACAATAAACTTATAAATTGATTCATGTGGATTTGTAATCATGGTATTAGATTACTGCATTATCCTGACACTGACTTGCTATGAAATTTTGGATTGCTCTGCACTAGGACCAGTTCAAATCACTGAAGGGAATCATGCTGCCCTTAGGCTACTGTGTCACTTGTGAAAATTTTCAGTCCTTATTTTTATTTCGGAGACTTGATTCTGTTTGTTTAAGTGCTTTAATTTTTTTCCCTGTGTATGACATGTAAGGTGCCAGAGCAGCTGGGGCACTTTGAAGAATTTTACCTGTTGTTTGTTTCAGCCCTGCAAAGGAAAGTTTTATGAGGAAGTACATTACTGTGAACTCAAAGGACTCAATCCGTACTTTGTTTCTCTCTTTTATTGTAATTCTTGAGTTATCTTTTTATGTAAGAAGGAAAGCAAATACTTAAACAAGATTTCAAGTAACAGGATAA